ACAGAGCCACCGCATCCCGCAAGATTGGTGCGAAAAGCTTCAGCAAGGCAGCCGATGAGCGAGCCGCCGAGGCCAAGGCGCCAGACCCAGGAACAGTCCCAAGCGCCCCCATATCCTCAGTGAGCCAGTCAGAAGACAGCTCCAGGAGAGAAAACAAGCGCAAGGCCGCAACCAAAAGGCCCTGAGCGCGCAAGTCCTCCGCCACCTGTGCCGCCGAAGGGGGGAGGGAACCTGCACATGGAGCTGAACAAAACCAACATTCCAGGAAAGGGCAGGAGCAAACAAGTACTCATTGAGGTGCTCAAGTTCGGCCCCCCCCCTCCCAGGAAAACCTGAAGCACCGTTGAAGCCTCCTGCCACTCAAGTGTGCGGGAACGGCAGGAGTAGTGCCAAGCCTCCAAGGCAAAGACAGGACAGTCCACCAGCCAGGATGACTCCGGAACCTCGTAAAGGAGCCAGAAAGGGAATGAAGTCCCAAACTTGAAAGCCGAAGGATCCATTGCCGAGGCATAATCTGGGTCACGCAGGAGGTTTGCCGCAAGGGCCGCCCACACAGCAGCAGGTTGACGCGATAAGCCAAAAACCTCCGGAAAGACAGACCCAAAGCACCCAGGGGAACATAGAACCGAACCAGGGAAGGGGCAGACACCAAATCCAACTTGTACGCTGAGGGGGGAAAAGAAAACCCCACTCCTTGTAACAGTAAGCCTTGCTCAGAGGGTAGAAAACCCCGCCTGGGCCCCGTCTCGGCCCCTCTGGACCTCAGGCAGGGTCCAGTGGGGCCCAAGACCCCCAAGTCAGCCCCTTCCCAGCCCCAGGGTCCTCTTCTGCAGGACCTGGGTTCGAGTCCTCCCCCCAAGCACCGACCCCACTAGACAAGGCCAGCGCAGCCCATCCCACAAGAATAGTCCTTATGGTCCCTTGGTGGCCGGCCCAGCTTTCTTTTTAGACGCTGCATGATAGGTGTCCTAACCCGGGGCATTTTCCCACAGCTCCACCTCTTTCGGCAGGTCGGACCAGTCCTGTACGTGACTGGTTCGGCCTTCTCCTTGGCTCTTCATGCCTGGTATTTTGATGCGGGTATCACCATCTCTGTGGTGATCAGGTGGCTTTGTTGATTGTGTCCCACCTGCGAGCTTCGTCTCGGCGACAGTATGACGTTCCTGGTGTTTCTATGCACTTTTTCTTGCTCTTCATAGGTTGTCTTCTCTTTCGCATCGAGTTGTCTTGTCTTTTCTTTGGTTTTCAGGACTACAGTTTTTTTTATGTTTCTTACTGTCGCCTCGTTTTGTGCGGTGCTGGCGGAGTCACTCCAGCTTGCGTTTGGGGTGGACGTCACATTTGCCCTAATTCGTACACTTTCTCGTGTTTTGTTTCACCTCCGGCCTGCTCATGCGTCGCCTGAGCCATCCTGGTCCTTGATCAGGGTGCCTTCTTATCTTCTCCTCAGTTTGTGGTAGCCCCTTTGGTTCAGGTTTCTGCTCTTTGGCACTGGTGGTAGGTTTGAACGTTTGGAGCCTTTCTCAGTCCTTCTGGCGACGGTCGAGACGGCTGCTTTCCAGAGGGGTTCTTGGGTTATTGATGCTTGATTGGTTCGACCGGGAGTGTGTCCTGTGTTGTCCGGTTGTGTTTTTTTTACGTTACCTACGTACCGTGTCTGGGGATGCGCTTTGGATTGATCCGGTTCCCCTTGTTTCCTGTTTCAGGGTTCGGGTCTCTCAGGTCATCCGCAGAGTTTTTAAGTCTTCCAGCCTGTGGTCTGTCCTTGCGCCCGTGCTGTTCGGACGTTTGCAGCTTTTGCTGCTGTGTTGGTGACGTCTAGGGCTCATTTTGGGCACAGTGATTTGAGGGTCGCACAGGTTCTTGGCCGCCCATTCTTTATGCGTCTGCTCCTGTGGGTTTCTTGTTGCCTTAGGTCGCAGGTTGCTGCCTGTTGTCTCGGCTTCGCGTTGCAGAGTTTGTGGCGGCCGCCTCCCGGGTCAGCCCTTTCTTTTCCTTCTCTTTGGGTATGAAGCTCCAGGGAGCCGTAGGGGCTCCCCACAGAAAACCAGCGTTGAATGTAATGAAACGCCATTTTCTGGGTGAGCCCCGGAGGCTCCCTGGCAACCCTCCCTCCCACTGGTCGGCGTTTTTTTCACGTTGGTTGAAGCTTAGCTTTCGAACTGAAGCTTGGCAGCCGGCGCAGTAGATCCGGCCCCCCTCCCCCTCTCGGGGCAGGGAGGGCTGTGCGGACGATCGGCGTTTCAGTAAAGTGTGATATTTGCTTGTTTGCTTGTTTCCTTGGGATTGTAGGGAGTTTCTACATCTCTGGTCGTTTTTTTGTTTTAGTTTTTACCATGTGGGGTTTGTTTTGTTATGCCTATCTTTCTGGGTGCCTAACCCCGGTCGATGGCAGATAAGGAAAACCCCAACCACATGGGGGTTTCCAGGGTCATTGCTCCCTGAAACCTCTCTGAAGGGGCCAGGTTCTGGCACTGGTCCCTGGTAGGTCTGAACTCCTTAGCTAATGTCCCGGTCTAATATGACATACATTAGCCCGATAAGCTCCAGGGAGCCTCCGGGGCTCACCCAAAAAATGATGTTTCATTACCTTCAACGCTGGTTTTTTATTTTTCCCAGGAAGGAATTTAGTCTGGAACCTTCCAGACCCTTGAATCATGCACAAAGCCACAGAGGCACATTTGGGCCCATTGGCTAGATAAGATCCAGTTGAAGTAGGATTGAAGGATAAATTGGATAAAAACATGCCAGAGGAAGGGTGGAACCGACGGACCCGAAGGGACATGGAACCGAACCCTGGGAGGGCCGACACTAAAAATCTACTCGTACTTAGAGGTGGGAAAAGAAAACCCCACTCCACGTAACAGGAAGCACCACTCGGAGGGTAGGAAAGCCCAGGAGGGATCCAATGGGGCCCAAGGCTCCCCAGTCAGCCTCCTCCCCAATCCCGAGAAGCTCCACATCAGGATCCGTGGCCGAATCGTCCCCCAAAGCCCCAGCCTCTAAAGAAAAAACTGGGGCAGTCGTAAAAACACTAAGGAAGGGGGCCCCACTGGTGAAACCCATACGCAACGGCTGGAGGGACTGACTCGAATTCCACCCCGGAAGGGGCATCCCCCCGAGACTGCCAGTCTCTCAAAACCAGGTGAACCCTGCCTCGAAGCCTTTAAACACTTGGAAGCCAGAAGCAGGAGGGGGGGACCAAAAAGCACCACAGCAGGGTAAGAACAAGAGGGAGCGGACCAAACCAAGTCCGAAACGACCCACACCCCCAAGTCCGGGTCTGGGGCTCCCCCTTACCCTATCCTGGGGAGGGGGGTTACGCAGACAGCGGCACGTTGGTAACGAGATGTCACACTCGTTTGATCGTTTTTCTTCATGGAGAGTTCTATCCTCTTGTTTGGCATTTGGTAGCATTTCTTCACCAGAATGGGGACGTGTTTTGGGGCGCTTATCTTTCTGGGTGCCCAATCTGGTCGATGGCAGATATTGCGCACTTCTAAACCATATTCAGGTATAAGGTGTGTCTATAGGCCATTGCTCCTCACGCCTCTCTGAGCAGGCCAGGCTGGCCTCTGAGGGGGCTGGGGACAATGAGCCAGGTTCTGGCTTGTTGTCCCCAGTAGGCCTAGAATTCCATGTACATTGACCAACCCGTTCTCGCAAATTTAATAAGTCAATATTGACTTATTAAATATGTGCATAGGTGACATACTTAACATAATAGATACCCTTAAAAAGATTCATAGAAAACACCGACCTTACCTAACCTTGTTAGTATCTTAAGATAAGCATCTTATTGCTTCGTAATTACAATTATTACCTAACCTATAATAGGTATAGGTTAAGTAATAATTGTAATTACGAAGCAATAAGATGCTTATCTTAAGATACTAACAAGGTTAGGTAAGGTCGGTGTTTTCTATGAATCTTTTTAAGGGTATCTATTATGTTTAGTATATCACCTATGCACGTAGTTAATAAGTCAATATTGACTTTACGAATTTGCGAGAACGGGTTGCAACCACATTGACTGATACCCAAAGCTTATACATTCGTATCAGCCGGATAGCTCCCGGGAGCCGAAGTGGCTCCCCCTAGAAAAGAGTGATAATAATTACATGATGGATGAGACAGCAGAAGTAATTTTAACTAAATAAACTTCAATTTTCTTCAAGTTTATACATAGCAGATATCAGCAGTTATGCAAGTTGACCAAGAATCAATATTGTTTGAAAATAGCAAGACATCAGTTGCAAGCACTAAGTATAGAGATACAAGAAGCTATGTAACAAATAAGGAGGGGAAATGGGGGGGGGGAGGCAAAGACAGAGGGAGAGGCAGAGACAACAGAAGCTTGGTGTAATGAGTGTAGCCATGATGGATAACATGTGCAGCGAGGGAAACAGAGATGAGTTAAATATTCATTTTTTCAGAGATAAGAAGCCTATGTATAAAAATACTTTAAGCTTGTATCAAGGGTCCAAAGGTCAAACTTCTAACATTCCCAAGGATGCAACCCCACAACAATTGCCTAACTTACTATTTACTGCTATGTGAACAGAAGCATTAGGTGAAAGGAAACATATCCAACCATTTCTGTCCCGCCTGGAATCCAAGAATGTGAGATAAGAATGTAGCCACTGTACTACAGGAGCTATAAATGTTTTATTAAGGTAATAAAATTAAGTCCAAACACACATAATAAATAGAAAGCAGATACATATTTTACATTAAGAATATCTTGAGATAGTTCCGAGGATCAATGTCCCCTGGGGCTCAGTCTCTGACTAGGGCATCTGATTGTTGGTCTTATCCATCAGGCTGTTAGGTCCTGCTGCTCTCAATCTGGTATATCATTCATAGCCCAGTTGATCAGGTATTCTTTGGCGGTGTTTATCAAGAGAGAGAGAGAGAAATGGTATTTAAGGTTAGGAAAAGGTTTTAAGTGTGAGTGTGACAGCATTACTGTACAGTACTTACAATCTGTGTATCCACAGGTGAGGAGCAGACATCACGGCTGGATCAGCTGGGTTTGGCACTGCTCTGGGACCGTCCAGACATAGCAGAGAGTCATATTTTTGCAGGTGAATTTTCCAGCCTAGTTGACATCCTCTCCCTCCCTGCCACCAAATTCTCCACTCCCCTGACCCTTTCCTTTTGCACACAGTGTTTACTCTCCCATACACTCTGCAGCCCCCATCTTCTCTTGCACTGTGTGCTCGCTCTGCTGCACTCCCTGCACCCCATCTTCTTTTGCACTGTGTGCTCACTCTACTGCACTCCCTACACGCCCATCTACTCTTGCACTCTGAGCTCACTCTGCTGCACTCCCTTCACCCCCATCTACTCTTGCACTGTGTGCTCACTCTGCTGCATTTCCTACACCCCCATCTACTCTTGCACTCTGAGCTCACTCTACTGGACACCCTGCACCCTTATCTACTTATGCACTGTAATTACCTAAGTGTAGTTACAGGATGAGAGCTATGCTCATGGTGTCCCGTCTTCCCAGTACTCTTTGTCGTATGACGCTTTGAAACTACTAACTGTTTTGGCCTCCACTCCCTTTTCACTTAACTTGTTCTAACTGTCTACCACTCTGTTTGCAAAAGAAAACTTTCTAATTTTTTTTTGGCACCGTTGTTTCCTTAGCTTGAATCTGTGTCCTCTTGTTTGTGATGTTGCTGGTTTCCAGAATTCCTCTTTATCAATATGGTCGATTACTGTTAGTATTTTGTAAGTGGAGACCATATCACTTTTTTCTTCTGTCTTCTTATTTTAGCATGTTTAAAGCCTCTAATCTCTCCTCATAACACTTGTTTTTCGGTTCCAGAAGCCATTTTGTAGCATGCCTTTGCACTTTTTCCAGTTTCTTTGTATTTCTTGAGATTCAGGTACCATACAACTGTTGCATATTCCAATTTTAATATTACAAAAGTCATGACCCGTTTCATTATTATTTCACCATTCATGTAATTAAAAGCAAGTCTGAAGTTGGAAAGCAACACATACGCTCCTTTCACGATGTTCTTTGTGGTCCTTGGGTGATAGTTTTCTACCTAGAACTACCCCTATATCTCCTTCTCTATCAGAATATTTTTCTGTGGGAGAGCCCCTACGGCTCTCTGGAGCTTATAGGACTAATGTAAGTTATATTAGACCGGGACATTAGCTATGGAGTTCAGACCTACCAGGGACCAGCGCCAGAACCTGGCCCCTTCCGAGAGGTTTCAGGGAGCAATGGACATGGAAAACTCCCTTGTAGTTGGGGTTTTTCCTTATCTGCCATCAACTGGGGTTAGGCACCCAGAAAGGTAGGCATAACAAAATAAACCCCACAAGGTAAGAAACTAAAACAAAAATCTGAACAAAGAGGTAGAAACTACCTACAGTCCCAAGGAAACAAGCAAACATCACACTTTACTACCGCGCCGTTCATCCTCGCAGTCCTCCCTGGCCCCCGACCTCACCACACTGGCTGCCTAGCACCAGTTCGTAAGCTAATTTCAACCGAGACAGACGCTTCAGACGCTGGCCTCAGTTTCCTAGGCAGTGTTTGCTTTCGTGGCATTAACTGCTGTATTTTTTGTGTTGTGCGGTGGCCAGGTGTTCCTCATCAGTACCGGGGCTGCATGCACTTAGGGGCTTCCTTCCCTAAGTACCCTGTGAGTACTGCCCTTGCGTGACAGGGTTATCTTCCCTGGGGCGTTCTGGAACCATTCCCGTAGAGGTTCTTGCTGCTCGGCATTTGCCATAAAAATTTGTTTTTATTTTCATTTGCCTGGTGGGGGTCTGCCTAGTGTGGCTATAGTTCCACTGGTAGTGTTTGGTGGCCATCTGCTAGGCCCCCGTGATTGTACACATCGCAAGGGTTTTCAGTGTTGTCCTCTACCCTTTGTTAGTTTTGGGTTTTAACCGGTTAGCAACACCTTGCCCGGGCTTCACGTAGTTGTTAACCTACGGGCCCTAGAAAACCTTGTTGGGGCTCGGTGGACCATTGAATGTGTCTTCCAGGTTCCAACCCGTCTTGTACAGGTTCGTTGGCTGCTGTGCCCTTGTTTCCGGGTGACAATCGCCATTTTTACCTCCGTCATGTTGCCTGTTGGGTCACTAACACCTTGACCCAGAGTCTTGCGAGAGATATTCTCTGCTGTTCTCCAGTACTCTCCTGATGTTATTACTGTTCAGAGTACAGGCGGCATCCGTGTTGCAAGCTAGGTTAGGTTACTGCAACACGCTAGGTTGGTTCCCACTCGGATGCCCCGTGGCCGCCCCGTTTTGGTTAGGTGCTGTTAGCCCCATTTCCTCCCTGTTCCCGGCTCCGGACCGTCTGCGGGTTTCGGGGTGGGGGGCGGGGTTTAGTTTGGCCCGAGAGACTGGTGGTTTCGGGGGCTGCCCGTTTGGGTTGGGGACGGAGGTTTTGGAGCCTGTAACTCCTGCCAAGGCTTCTGGGCCTTACCAGCGGCCCTTTTCTGTGGGGAGCCCCTACGGCTCCCTGGAGCTTATCGAGCTAATGTATGTTATATTAGACCGGGACATTAGCTAAGGAGTTCAGACCTACCAGGGACCAGCGCCAGAACCTGGCCCCTTCAGAGAGGTTTCAGTTAGCAATGGCCCTGGAAAACCCCTTGTGGTTGGGGTTTTCCTTATCTGCCATCGACCGGGGTTAGGCACCCAGAAAGGTAGGCATAACAAAAGAAACCCCACATGGTAAAAAACTACAACAAAAACGGAACGGAGAGGTAGAAACTCCCTACAATCACAAGGAAACAAGCAAACATCACACTTTACTGCCGCGCCGATCGTCCGCGCAGCCCTCCCCACCCCGGGAGGGGGAGGGGGGAGCCCCGGACCTACCGTGCCGGCTGCCAAGCTTCAGTGTGTTCGCTAATGTCAACCGGGATTGACGCTTCTCTGGCCTCAGTTTCCTAGGCGGTGTTTGCCTTGAGTGGCGTTCATTGCCATGTGTTGTGTTGTGCGGTGGCCAGGAGTACCTCATCAGTGCCGGGGCTGCATGTGCTTAGTGGCTGACTTCCCAAAGCGCCCTGTGAGTACTGCCCTTGCGTAACAGGGTTATCTTCCCTGGGGTGTTCGGGAACCATTCCCGTAGAGGTTCTTGCTGCTCGACATTTGCCTCGCCCTTTGGGGCTAGCTGGGGCTTGGGGCCCTTGTTTGGTCCTGGGTAGGGATTGGCATTGTGCTGGTTAGGGTGTCAAGGTGTTGCACAGCCTGCCACCTAAGTGGCGGCCGGTTTCTGTTGCCTCTGAAGACGGTGTACTTTTGCGGGGGTTTTCTTTTGTTTTTAATTTTTCATGCCTGGTGGGGGTCTGCCTAAGGTGGTTATAGTTCCACTGGTAGTGTTTGGCAGCCCTCTGCTAGGCCCTCGTGATTGTACACGTCTCAGGGGTTTTCAGTGCTATAATCTACCCTCTTGTTTTGGGTTTCTTAACCGGTTAGCAACACCTTGCCCAGGCTTGCCGTAGTTGTTACCCCTACGGGCCCTAGAAACCCCTGTTTGGGCTCGGGGAACCATTGAATGTGTCTTCCGGGTTCCAACCCGTCTTGTACAGGATCGTTGGTTGCTGTTCCCTTGTCTCCAGGTGACAGTCGCCATTTTTACCTCCGTCATGCTGCCTGTTGGGTCACTGACACCTTGACCCGGAGACTTGCGAGTGATTCCGTGCTTGTTCTCCAGTACTCTCCTGATGTTATTACTGTTTAGAGTACAGGGGGCATCCGTGTTGCAAGCTAGGTTAGGTTGCTGCAACACGCTAGGTTGGTTTCCCACTCGAATGCCCCGTGGCCGCCCCATTTGGTTAGGTGCTGTTCGCCCCTTTCCCCTCCATGTTCTCGGCTCTGGACCGTCTGCGGGTTTCGGGGTCGGGGCGGGGTTTAGTTGCGGCAGAGACTCGGGCGGTTTTCGGGGGTTGCCCCGTTCGTGTTGGGGACAGAGGTTTGAGCCTGTGCCTCCTGCCAAGGCTTCTAGGTCTTACCAGCGGCCCTTTCTTGTTGCCTTTCCCATGGTCTCTTGCTTTTCTTTAAGGGCGGAGGGCTTGGAGGACGACTCTGCCCCGGGGCCTCTGTTGTTGGTTCCCAGGGCTGTGGGGGATGCCTGCTAGCAGTTCTGGGGCGGTTTTGTCCCTGCCGGGGTTTTTCTGCTGTTGGGCGGCGTTTTTCGCCCATCCAGTCTGCTTGCTTCCCACATTTGCTGGCGTGTTTTTGTGTATTTAGCATCAGTCACAGCCCCTGCTGGCGGCCATTTCGTCTGCCGGTTTCCCGGCGTGGCCACCAGGGTGGCGTTGCAGTTTGTTTACATGCGCCTGGGTGTGCGAGCGAGCGTCTCGGGTGAGTTTTCATGTTTTTTTTTTCAGGGTTTTTGTTCTCCTGTATCCGTTTCTTTGCTTTTCTGGTGTTTTATTGCCTGTTTCTCTGGGGACGTTTGGGTGTTGATTTTACACCGGGTTTTTCCAAATTTTCTGTTTTGGGTCTGAGCCTTTGGGTTTAGGTTCAGTGCCCCTGGCTGGTATGCTTGCTCCCACACCTTGTCCCTCGGTTTTCGGTCTGTTGGGACCGTTTTCCCAGGGGGTTCTGCTGGGGGCTGTGCTTTGCCTTTCAATGGTGTTCTCCGCCGACAAAATGTGGTGGTTTGGGCTCCCCCTAGTTCGTTTCTGGGTTCCTTGGTTTCGTTCTGGAGGTTTCTTCCTCTTGGGCCCCCTTTTGTGGGTTCAGGGGACTTTGTTTCCTCGTGTGACCCGGTTTCTGCCTTCTGAGGGTTCCGGGGTCTTCCTGGCTTGCAGACTGATCTTTTTGGGTCTTGGCACATGTTGTGGTCGTGCTGGGACTTTGCGGTTTTGCTGTCGAGGTGGGCCTTTTGATGCAGTTTTGTGCCTTCTTTGCCTGGCCGGCGTGGTGCTCTCTGCCCACTAGTCGGCGACTTGTACTTTTACAATACATGTCCTCACCTAGTTGTGCTTGCGGGGGTTGAGCTCTGGCTCTTTGGTCCCGCCTCTCAACCGTCTATCAACAGGTGTACCGGTTCCTGTGCCTATTGGGCTCTATTGGGCGTCGGAAGACGGCTTCTCCC